GCTCATGCTGGCAGGGAATGGGGAAAGAAAAACTGGAAGCTATTTGGAAGTCGACTGTCAATATATTTGTTGATTTGCTGCTACAACCTTCCCTTGAGAACCTTCTCAACAGTGCTGGACTCCCTACTGGGTGGACTTGTACGGAAACATGGCTGTTGAATAATGCCTCAATGTAGCTGGACGACAGTTCAACCTGGTTTTCAGTGGTAGGGCTCTAGCACACTAAGAACATCCAGCCCTTTGTCTTCTCTACCTGTCAGTCAGTTGAGTAATACAGTAGATTTCATGAGAAAGAGGAAAACTGTCAGGGAGCTACCCTGTAGTCCATGAAAGTGTTGTTCTGCCATGACAGTTGACTAAGTGAAATGGCCCCTTCTTTCTCCACAGTTCTGCTCCCAGACTACACCAAAATCAAAGTGGTGGACTTTAGTTTCCAAAATAAATATTTATAGTTTTCATGTCTACAACATTAAGTCTACTGTGCCAGCATTACTAAGAGGCAGGAAACTGAATTCTAATGCTTCTTGTGTATTACTGGCAGAATCAACTCTTGCTAATCAATTATATGCAAACCCTTTGAAGACTAGTTTTCCACAGGTATAACTAAGTGGCCTAAGTTTCCTGTTACAACTTTGGTTAGTGTGGGTGATGTGTAAGGTGAAAAGAACCCAGTTTGCCCTTCAGATCTCCCAGATCTTATAATCACCACTAGAGAGGATCTAGAAGTGAATGACAGAGATGAAGAAGGGGTTGCAATGCAAGCTGTATGTAGGAAGGTTGAGAGAGTTAGATATGTTTAGTCAGGTGACAAAAGGGAGGGCATGGTAGCAGTTTTCAAATATTTGAAAGGCTGCCACAAAGAAGAGTCAGAACAACCATTCTTCCTTGCTGCAGAGGTCAGGGACCAAAGCAATGGGTTTACAGCACAGTGAAGTAGATTTAGATTAAATCCTAGGGGAAAAATGTTTTTCCTCTCAGAGGAGTAGGATGGTGAAACAAGACGTCCAGGGAACTTGTGAAATCTTCTTTACTAGAGGTTTTCAAGAAAGGGCAAGATAAGCATCATTTTGAGATGGTTTGGGAACAAGGAATCCTTCATTTGGGCAGGGAGTTGGACTAGATGATGTTTGGGGTCCTTTCCAACCCTGAGATCCCAAGAGTCTATGTTTTAAACAAGCTAAATTAAGGCTTGATGAGGAAACAGGTGCACAAAGAGATGATGTGATCTGTAGACAAGAAGGAACACAGAACTAGAAAACTTTCTGGAATATCAAGCCTAGTTCCCTGCTATAGCAGGCACCATGTCAATATAATCATTTCCATACATTTAGTTAGATACACCAAGATAGTCTAGAGCCTTGATCTCCTGAACATTGATATTTGAAATGAAGGAAAGCCTGGCCTCACTGAAGTCAACAGGAGTTTTACTATTCAGTGGGGCCAGAATTTCATTTACTGCTTGTTGTACACTGAGTAGATTTGCTTTGAAAGTGTTGAGGAAGAATAATAATAAGATGTTGTTCTTACACAGCACTTTATAAGGCAGTGAAATACCAAGACCTTGAAGGAAATTCAGATGCACAGCCAGAGTTGAACATTGACCTCTAGAGAGGCATATTCTCTTTGACAGGTGTCTTACCATAGAGCCAAATTTCTGGATATTATTTCTTTTGGTCTGATCCACAAAATAAACCAAGATGTGAACCCTTTTCCTCCTATCTTAATTTGTTGTATTTTGATTTATTTACTGTATGTTCCCTGACGACAGCACAGATTTCTATTTCTCATGCATCTAACTCTAACTGACACAAATTTTAGGTGCTTCCTATCTTGCATAGTGTGGCTGGGCCCTTATACCAAGAATATGATTACTGCTTTCTGTAATATCCTGTCTGATTTTCAGAGGTCCTGGCCATTTGGCTACCATAATCTGGATTGGAGTGGTGGGTGCGTGATAAAATGATACTTGTGGTATTTATGGCAGCGACACTTGGCACTAAAGAGATGACTGGTTTAAATAGAGCAACCATAGACTCCCAGCAGTTACAAAGAAACCAGTCAACTCTTGTCCTTCTTTAGTAGAGAGAAACAAGTCTTGGAGAGATGCTAAATCCCAGCAGGCAAGTATCCTTTCAGAACTGCGCAGAGGTTGTAAAGAGTGAGATACTGCATTGCTAGCTAGGATTATCAACACTGGCTGCAACCTCTGCTTAGGAAACACTGTAAGCTGGGAACTCATATGCCTGTGGGGATGCAAATGGGGCTCTGGAGGCTGAAATATTGGGCTACTTGCTGATGGGCTTCACTTTAGCATGGACCATCACTGTTGGAACTGGCAGTATTTGGGATGCCTGTGGCTATCTATGTATTCGGCTTTTTTTAAAGTGAGTGTAGGTCTTGCTGCCTGCAATCATAGGGGACTGGACTTAATGAGTTGAATGGTCTCTTCCAGTTCTCTATTTCTTTGTTCTCATGGGCACACCTGCTCCATGGCATGGAGAGGTACCAGGGAGCAAATGTTTCCCACTCACTCCCACTTGGCATGTGCTAAATTCTCAAAATAAGGTGATGTGGCTTTCTCACAGCAGCCCTAAGCAATGGTGCAAGTCAGGCTGTCAGAGAGAGAGTGCTTGAGTGCAATGCTGTGGGGCACGCGCGGGGCACTCTCAGATGCCCCATTTCTGCAAACAGGTGTGTGCAGAGCAGGAGTGAGCATCCTTGGTGGCGCTTGTCAGCATGGCACAAAGGTGGTCCAGACTGACCCTAGGCTGCTGTGTCTCAAGCCTAGTCAGGTGCAGAGGCAATGTGGAAACAGGCAAAACAACCCATTGCGGAGGGGAGACCTCTGCCAGGCATTGAGGTCAGGACAGGGCATGAATAGCATCATAGAGAGGTAGGGCTGGAAGGGCCCTCCAGAGGTCATCTAGTTCAGCCCCCTGCCTGAGGCAGGATCATCCCTATCCAAACCATCCTTTACAATCTTCTAAACTCTACATCAGACTACTTGAAACACACTGACCTACCTACCACCCCCACCTGCCAGAGGTGAGGCAGGGGAACTACAGCAATCAATGTCCTGCTTCTACAAAATGTTGTCAATGTACACTCAAGAGATCCTGGGGAAAGGGCCATGCCCCAGCTACAGAGAAAGGCAAAAACTACCACAGTCCCTACCAATCTGACCCCAGGTAAAATTCCTTCAAATGCCTCAGGTCTGGGCAGAGCCCAGCTTCCCTACCCGGCAAAACAGTGGACTCATGGCTGAATCCCCAGGGTGCTGTGTCTCTGTGGGATACTCCCTCTGCCCCATTCCTTGGCCTCTAGGCCTTTTGGGCTCCTGGCCAGTTTCCACAGCCAGGATCACAGGTTGGGAACCTGTACTCTGCTTTCTTTCTTCCTGCTAACCAGGGAAGGGAGTTCTTGGCTTTCAGGGCAGGGCATAGGGCTAGGAAGGAGCTGACCAGGGACAATACAGGGTCCTCCACAGGGGAGTATATAGGGTTCTACAAAGGAAGATATATAGTGTCCTAAAAATGGGACATACAGGGTCCTACAGGGGGGAATATACAGGGTCCTACAGAAGGGACCTATAGGGTGCATTTACACATGATGCTACATCTGCATAGTGACATGGTAGGGCAACGTAGCATCCATGGGTGTCTACACGTGACCAGCAGCTACTTCGCTGTAGTGGTGCACTCCCCTGTTATAGCATGCTGCTACAGTGAAGTAACTGCTAAAAATAACCGTGCACCATGCGGACAATGCAGAACAGGCAGTTACCGTGCTGTGCTTTAGTACTTCCAAAAGAAAGTATTAAAGCACAGCGCAGTAACAACGTTGCCGTAGGGCAATGTGTAGATGTGCCCATAGGGTCCTACATATGGGGAAATATAGGGTCCAACACAGGACAGTATATAGGGTTCTACACAGGGAGATATACAGGGTCCTACAAATGGGATGTATGGGGTGCTACACAGAGGGGACATACAGGGTCCTGTACAGGGGGATATACAGGGTCCTATAGAGGGAACAAATAGGCTCCTACATTGGGGAAATATAGGGTCCAACACAGGAGAGAATATAGGGTTGTACACAGGGAGATATACAGGGTCCTACAAATGGGATGAACAGGGTGCTACACAGAAGGGACATACAGGGTCCTACAGAGGGGAGTATACAGGGTCCTATATAGGGTTCTACATACAGGGTCCAACACAGGAGAGTATATAGGGTTCTGCACAGGGAGATAGACAGGGTCCTACAAATAGGACATGCAGGGAGGGTCCTATACAGAGGGGACATACAGGGGCCTACAGAGGGAAATATACAGGGTCCTATAGAGGGGATAAATAGGTGCTACATAGGGGGAAATACAGGGTCCAGCACAGGAGAGAATATAGGATTGTACACTACCCAGGGTCCTACAAATGGGATGAACAGGATGCTACACAGAGGGGACATGCAGGGTCCTATAGGGGGGACCGATAGGGTCCTATGTAGGGATAATACAGGGTCCAGCACAGGAGAGAATATAGGGTCCTACACAGGGAGATATTCAGGGTACGACACATGGGATGAACCGGTGTGCTACGCAGAGGGGACATACAGGCTCCTCCAGGGGGGAACTTTATGGGGAAATCCTGGCTGCAGCACAGAGGGTGTGCAGGGTCGTGCCCGGGTCCCACGAAGGGGAGGACGCGGGCCGCGGGCCGGGCCGGCGCGGC